GAGTAAACATAACTACTAGGAATCTTTCCCTCATCACCAGACACCAAGGATCTTCCACTCCAATTAAAACTATCAGCCTTCTCATATATCTCCAGCTGCTCTCCCTCACTGAATGAAAGATGATGACTCCATATTCCATGATAGTCAGTACGTGCTGTGTAAATAGATTCTGCTGTTGGTGTATCCAGTGATTGTGTACACTGATCCTTCTCTATACAATATATCAATCAGTTAATGATTTAATTACTAACATATCACATACTCTCAATATTTCCCTTTTCACTCATCAGCAGTTGTACACTAGTTATTGATATATTTTCTTGCAGTAACTCAATCTCTTTCTTATACTCCACTAATGCCTCCTCTCTTCCTGTGATGAGGTAGTATAGACAGATTATACCAGTAGAGTCAGTACCTGCTTTCATTAGGAGAGAGGTTCGGAAATACTGAGTCTCTGATTTCTTTGATTTGAATATTTTATTTATCAACTTCCCTCTAGTCAGTAGCTTCACTTTCAGTTTAGACTCTACAGTAATGACACAATGAGAATTTTAATTTATAAGATAATTGTACTGATTGTTCAAATGATTATCAACTCCACATTACTTTAATACATGCTTTAAGTTAGTACTATACCTGGTGTCTCTAGTCTCCTTTCAATATACTCTATACAAGTAAAAATACATTAATAACATATCTTCATCATTCACTAACTATACCTTTTCTTTTTTTGATGATATTCAGTTGTTTATCTTGTTCAAATATTGATCCTATACCATTAGTATAAGTAACATCAGTAATTGAGTAATAGATCAACTATCACACCTTCTTTGTAGTCAAGTAAAGTCCTCAGTTCTTGTTCCTCTCCATCAGCTAGTTTAATCTCCTCTGCAAGACACTCATTATTCATTACCTATAATCAGTACATAATATTAAACAAGGTCTCATACAGTTACAGTATCTTATACTTTGTATTTGATCCTTTTATCGTAGACAGTGTAGTGGCCAATGGTTAGTCTAATTAAATTGAATTCCTTCATCAAGACAGTTAGGTTGTCTTGTGCTTCCAAGAGAAGAGCAGCTAGTAAATGATGTGGACCATAACAGATGATAATGATGGAGTTCCCACTATGAATGCTTCGTACAATAATCCTCTTGTTTAATTCTTTAAATGCTTCCTCTAAGAGATTACGTATGTCATCAAGTGAATGCTCCTCTGGTTCCCATCCCAAAGTAAACTGAATTGTTTCACAAATG